AAATAAATGTAAAAAAAAAAAAATTAGAAGAAAAGAGAGGCAGAAAGGCAGAGGGAGAAATAGAATCTCAAGCAGGTTTCACACTCAGCATGGAGCCCGATGCATGACCCAAGCTGAAATCAAGAGTCAATTGCTCAACTGACTGAGCCACCTGGGTGCCCCCCTCCTTCCATTTCTAAAGGAATGGCACCAAAAAGAACATGGCCTTTAGAGTCAACTCTGGAATTGAACCCCAGCCTTTACAATTCTTTCTGAAGCTGAAAAGGCAGGGATAACATGACCTACCTTGCAGGGTTGTTGGGAGGAACAAATGGTAGCCACTGAGGTAGGGCCTCAGTGAGTGTTAAGCTGAGCGCTTGCTCCTTGCTCAAACCTTTATGCAGCACCTTGCTGGGGACCAATCACATTGCCTGGTGCTGCTCTTTCTCTGCTGGCTTGGAAACTCAAATTCAGGGATTCTCTCTAAACCCCTACCTGTCCCAAGGGCTGGCTGTGCCAACATTGACAGTCTTTTAAAGGGAGCATGATGCCAGCTCTGCCACTTACTGGCTATGCAGTCTTGGGCAGTTTGACCCATCTCTGCCTCAGTTTCCTCATCTGAAAAGTAGAGGATAATTGGATTCCCCGCTTCATAGCACTGTTGGAAGTATTACACAGATTAAAACATGTAATGCACTTACAGCTGTGCCTGACACATACTAGAGGCGTTTGCTAGTGTCAACCTGCCCTTTGTTTCTCTACCAAATGCTGCCTTTCACCTGGGGAAATGGAGGAGGCATACATAAAAGCCAATCCATTGGTCTTGGCAGTCTATTTATTCTCCTCGTGCAAGTCTTGGGTAAAAAGAGGTAGTCTCCCTACTTTCCAATTCCCTACCACGAAGACCATGTTTCCAGGAAACCTCCTGGGCCTCTTCTAACCGCTAGATGGCCAAGCTACAGGGTGATTATTTCCTTAGGCAAGCTAACAGCAAACACTTCAGCCCTCTAATATGGTATTTCCTGGGGCTGGAATATCAACAGGAAGTCCTGTGGGGAAGATCTCTGCCAAAACACTCATTCCCAGGAAGGGATTGGTAAACTGACAAATTTGCCCAGCCCTGTACAACATCCTGCAACCTCCACATGCGCCCCTGTGGCAGGCCTCACCACAGGCAGGTCGCTGCTGACCCAGTTCTTTTCTACTGGGTTCTTGAGCCAAGGAGCCCAGATGTGAACCTACGTGAGAAAAACAGACAGACAAAAATTTGCTCTTACAAAAGTTGGGCCATTTATTGGCATTAGGAAAGCATTCCTTTAGGCACGGGTGGGTCCCTGAATACTAATCTCACCCATTTTATGAAAACTTGAGACCAGACTCTCCATCGTCTGTACATAGCTTAATCACAAAACAAGAGCAAGTACTCGAATTAAACAGGTTTAACCAAACTGTCCTGCTACAAGATAATAAAGGGAAAGCTAGGGGGAGGGGAGGGGCTCAAAGTTCCTTCGCACTACAATGTTTCAGGTACATAATCTAACAATTCCGCAGTGCAGCACAAAACCGCTTCCCATTGTCTCTTAAATCAGTAATGTAATTATCAATAGTCCAAGGGCCAAGAAAAGTTTATGGAAAACGGCCGTACCCTTTGGCTCTGTGCGTGACCTGCTGCTGAGGGACAAAGTTCTTAAGAACCAAAGACTTGGCCGATACACTCTTGGGGCAAGCGCCCTCACAGAATCTCAAGCATCAGGTCTCAGCTTTCCCATCCTCGAAAGGCAGGGACGATCGGCTAGGCCTCCAGATCGAAGTCATCGCGCTCCTCATTGTACTCCAGCACGTGCCGCTTGATCTTGGACGAGTCTACCCAGGTGACAAAGTCCTCCATGCTGCGTGTGACAAGGAAGGCGGGGTCAGTGACCACGTCGGGGCCCACGCGCACGTGGCCCTGTTCCACGAAGGCCACGGCGGCCTGGAGGTGCTGCGCCATGCGCAGCTTCAAGAGCACGGTGGGCAGTCGGCGGCGGCAGAAGGACGAGGCCGTGACGAAGTCGCAGAGCTCGAGCGAGCCGCGCGTGGGCACCAGGCCGAGAGCATACAACTTGTCCAGCAGCGCGGCCGAGGCGCGCACGCGAAACGGGTCGCGCTCGGGTAGGTCGCGCAGGCGCCGCGCCAACTCACGCACAGCCCGGCTCAGCTGGTTGTAGCGCGTGTAGTCCTCCCGCCGCTGCAGCCGATAACGCCGCAACACGCGCAGCTCGTGTAGGTTGTGGTCAGTGACCTCCCAGTTCAGGAAGTCCACCTGCTTCAGCAGCTTCTGCTCGTGGAACTTAAGCTTCCGCACCATGATGGCGGCTCCCGGTGCCGCAAGACCCGAAGCTAAAAGCACAGACAGTGGCCGCGCGGCTTCCGCTTGGGATCCCGAAGTGCAGGCCGCCCTGGGGGCCCTGGGCCAATGAAAGAAAGGCTCAAGGCCACGCCCTTGATTTCCATTGGTCAGAGTGTAGCCACGCCCCATGCATCTATCTCGCGTTTCTTCTTTTCTCGTTGGCTGAAGCCGAGTGGGAGAAGTACTGAAGAAAGGCCGGAGGTGGGGCAGCGGGCCGGGGGCGACACAGCGAGGTGTTTTTGGTTTTGTTTTTTGTTTTAAATTTCCACGAGGTCTTAAGTTACCAGAAATATATCCCCTAGTGCGGTAATCATTTCTTCTCATTCAGGCCGATGCCCTTAGGGACTCTCGGGAGTGTCTGCCCATAGAAGCTGAGGAAGCCAGTCCTGGGGAAGACGGGTGACTGCTGCGCCTGTTTGATGGGGTTTACCGTGCTAATTCATCGTCGGGTTCCTCCCACCTGGTGGGAAGTTTTCCGGATCCGGCGGACGGGAGACCGGCTGGGTAATTGCGGTCGCTCGCTACCGCCAGGTAGCCCCCAGGAGGGCGGGTGGATCCTCCCGGTCAAGTGGGGCTGAATGCAGGCGAACCTATAAAATACTGATTTCCGGGCCGCTTCTTTATACGCACTGATCGGGATCTATACGGGAGCCTCTTTGAAATATGTATTGTTAGTAGGGATGTCGGGTGGTTCAAAAAACCCAGCAAGTCTGAGAAATTCGGATATTAAGTACAAAACCAACTCCTTAGTTGAGCTCAAAGAATAAGCCTGATAGGGTGGATTTCCGTCACCCTCAGTACTGGTCACCCAGTACTGAGTTTAATAAATTTAACGCTGTTATGGCTAGTTATATCTGTAAGGTACAGTTGAGTGTAGCGCTGCAGGACTAACCTTTTTATTTGCCCAGGCCTTTGACGCCACCTAGCTTCTTCGTTGATTATTTTATTTTGTATAGTTTTCATTGTCCTTTTAATACTTGACATGTGGAAAATAATATATGTAACACGTGTAAGTTACAAACTATAATGAATACTTATGAACCCAATAGCCGGTTTAAGAAAACATCATCAGGACTATTTCATCTACCTATTCCAGCCACTCCTCCAGCCAGAGGTAATGGTATTTATTCTGAATTCTGTGTTTATTTTTGCTTTTTGTTTAAAAAGAAAAAGTAGTTTTATCATTATACATGCATCTCTAAATACATTGAGAACCTTCTTACTCAGAGTGTAGCCAGTGGACTAGCAAAGAGCTTGTTGGACATGCAGTCTCATTCCTGACCTACAGAATCAAAATCTGCATTTAACAAGATCCCCAGGTAATGTGTGTATACACACTGATTTTGCAGATGTGATTAAATTAATGATTTTGAGATGGTGAGAATATACTCAATTATCTGGATGGGTCCCATGTTATCATAAGGGTCCTTATAAGTGAAAGAGGAAGACTGAAGAGGCAGAGATGGGATGATGAAAGCAGAAGTCTGAGTGATGTGATAGCGGGTTTTAAAGATGAAAGGGAGCCAAGATCAGGGGACTGTGGGCAGCCTCTAGAAGCTGGAAAAGGCAAGGAAACGAATTTTTCCTTAGAGCCTCATGAAGGAACATGGCGCTGCTGACACTTGAGATCCAGTGAGATCCAGTTTGGATTTCTGTAAAGCCATAAGTTTGGGTTGCTTTAAGCCACTAAGTTTGTTGTAAATTGTTACAACTGCAATAGAAAACAAATACAGATTGTTTTTTTTTTCTAATTGATTTGAAGATGTTCTTTATGTGTTATGGATATTAATCCTTAGCCAGTTATATAAGGAACAAATATCTTCTCCCAGTTTGTAGTGTGTCCCCACCCTTTATATTCCCCCAGGCCTCATTCACTTCCATCCTCAATTCTTGCTCAGCATGTCTGCAGTAGGACTCTTGGTTAACTTCCTTCTCCCAGACAATAAACAAAATAAAAAATAAACTATATGTTTTAGCAAGTGATAAGCGCTATGAAACAAAATTGAGCAGGCTGTAGGAGAGCTTGGGGTGAGGAAGAGCTGTAATTTTAAATAGGGCATGTCAGGATAGGTCTTACTGAGAAGGTGATATTTTATAGGGATTTAGCCATGTGGATATCTAGTGGAAGAGTATGTCAGAAAGAGGAAACAGGGCAAATGCCTTGAGACAGGCATGTGCCTGACATGTCGGAAGAGGAGTAACAAAGCCATCCTGGCTGGAGCAGAATGGGCTAGGGAGGGGAGGAAAGGGGGTTCAGATAACAGGTTCATAGGCCTTTGCCTAAGTAAGTACTTTGCTTTTTATGTTTGTGAGATGAGGACACTGAATGGTTTTGAGCAGAGGATTGACATAGAACATATTTTAAATGGATCACTCTGACTGCCATGTTGATAGTAGACTGTCAGGAGGCAGAGGTGGAAACAGAGATTGGTTGGACACTGTTGCAGTGATCTGGGTGAGAAAGATGGTGGTTGGGACCAGGAGAGCAGCAGTGAGATGTTGATGTGAGAGGAGACCCAGGATGTGGAGAGTCAAGGATGGCTCCAATTTTGGCCCGAGAAAGTGGGAGAAACTACTCATTACTTGAGATGGGGAAGGCTGCCAAGTAGAACAGGTTTGGGGGGCAATATCCAATATTGCTTGGGACATGTTGGGTTGGAGGTGTCTGTTAGACATCCCAGGGATGTCAAGGAGAAAGACATTTGAGTCTGGAATTCTAGAGAAAGGCCTAGGTTGGAGATTAAAAAATTGAGGTGTTATTGGCAGATAGATGGTGTATCAAGCCAGGGCAAGGTCATCAAAGAAATGAAGATGATAGAAAAGACAAGAGGAGCACTTTCTGTAGTCACTCTAGTTTTAAGAATTATTGGAGGGGCGCCTGGGTGGCTCAGGCAGTTGAGCATCTGACTCTTGATTTCCGCTCAGGTCTTGGAGTTCGTGAGTTTGAGCCCCACATTGGGCCCTGTGCTGACAGTGTGGAGCCTGCTCAGGATTCTGTCTCTCCCTCTCTGTCTGCCCCTCCTCTGCTCTCTAAATAAAAAATAAATAAGTAAATAAGAGAATTGTTGGAGAGAGGATAAACCGGTGAGGTAGAAGGAAAACATGGAGAGTATGGTCTCCATAATGCAAGTGAAGAAAGTATATCCAGAGGGAAGGAGTGATCAACCTGGTCCAATGCTACTGAAAGGTTGAGTTAGAGGGGAACTGAGAATAACTATTAGGTCATTGATGACTTTGACCTTGACAAGAATAGTTTCAGTGGAGTGTGAGGGTGAAAGACTGCCTAGAGGGGTTTAAGAAGAGAAAAGGAGGAGAGAAATTATAGGCAGTTAGTACAGATAGCTATTTTGAGGAACTTTGCTCAGGCACGCAAAGAGAAATGGGGCAGTAGCTGGTGGGGGAAGTAGAATTGAGAATCTATTTTTTGAAGATGTGGGTTGACTCTTTCCTCAATACTCACAGCTTGTTGGAGGCCATGCCAGTCTATTCTACCTCCATGAACTCCCAGATTTACTTCTCCCTAGCCCAGCACCCTTGCACTGTCAGGCTCTCGTCATCTCTTGTCTGCTTTGCCACTGTGTAGTCCAATGTACTCCTGCTGCCACCAGCTCAACCTGGAAACCACTGTTGCAGCTCTGTCTTACTGACTCTTTCCTAAAAGGGGAACGTTGGGTGCTTGGAGGGGGAATGGATGCTGCTTGCCGAGCTTGAATCAGGGTCCCGGCAGGAAAGAGAGAACACACTCCAATTAGAATAATGTGAGAACTGAATAAAGGGACTTTGTCGTAAGGGAGTAGGCAGGGTGTAGGGAAACCACAAAGTGCAGTTTCCTGAGACTAGTAACTAGGGGTCTGCATTACCCTAGGCTTGAAGGTCACTGGAAGGAAGGGAATGGAAGATACCTATACTGGATGGAAATCTTTGTGAGCATCAAGAGAGTTTCCCCCAAGAACCTGGAAATAAGGGTGGTCCCTGAGAGTTAGAAAAACCCACCTAAAACAGGTGTGGGAGTAAATCCAAGATGGTTGGTCTGTGAATGTGTGACTGAGGTGTTTGGGAACCAACTAAAGACTAGGATCCTAGGTGGATGAGCAGACATCCCATTGATTGTATTAAGGGAGCTAATAAAGGTAAAATGTTTACAATGGTGTCTGGCACTAATGAAGTAGTTGCTGTTTTTAGGGCCAGCTTGAAGAGAGGCTATCTGAACCCAAGAGAGATCACAGAGAATCAGTATCCCAAAAGCAGCTGGGGGAAACATACTTCAGCTCTGGTTGTAGGAGAAACAGGATAACCTGAATCCTTAAGCTCAAGGCTGGCCCTATTGCGGGGGGACAATATCTCAATGTTTCTTGGCTGAAAAACTTGTTACACCATCCCCTCTTCAAGGGGTTTCTAGATTCACTGAGCTAACCTTCTGGTAACAGGGCTTTGTGAGGAGTGGCCCAAATTGCCTTGATCTACTGATGCAAAAATTCAGGTCTACCTGACAGTTGTATTTCTGTGCTGGTAACTATACTTACTGAGGTGAGCATTTGGTTATGTATATAATTGTCAAATCACTTTGTTGTACATCTGAAACTAATATATTGTATGTCAACCAAACTTTAATTACAAATAAAAATTAAAAAAAAAATTAATACCTGCCCTTCTGGGGTTTGTACATAAGCCTTTATTCAGGTCATATGGCAGCCCTGCATAGGGAATTGGATCTACTCACTGAACCAATGAAATTGGGTTTTGGAGCCAGAGGCCTGCAAATCTCACCCCTCAAAATAGCCGAAGGTGCCACATTTAACAGCTCCACCTTATGCCAATTAATCTGCAACAAGTAGGAAGACAGAATGGAAGGTCTAGCTAGAAGGGGTAGGCAAGTTTCCAGGGCACAGCCAGGAAGAGGAGTAGGGGCTGAAGCTTTTGTCTCACCTTAGGTACCTCCTCCTCCAGGAAGCCTTCCTTGATCCTTGCTCCACCCAGGCTGGGGTA